TGCTAGTGCTGGCAGTTCATCCTGATGTTTCGTGAGTACTCGTCCTCACGTAGAGGAGGGTAGGTCATGTGTGGAAACGGCAGGAGGTCCCGTCCTTAGGGGTACTTTGGATGAATAGGATTAACCTCGGGTGGCAACTGATGAGAGTATTCCAGTTACTACATCACCCAGGTGCACGAACGCTTGTAGCTACACAGATTTCATACAGTCCGGACAGTCAGTCTAGTACTAGGCTTCGTATGATATGTATGATGAAATGTACTTTGTTTTGTTGGATTGTTTGGAATGTATGTTTATGCATGAATTAAATTACATAAGCTTACCCTGCGTTTCCTGTCGTGTCTGGTTTTGTATTTCCGTCCTTGTCATTGCAATGATCATCCGTGTGGATGTGAGCAGAAGGAGTCGAGCTGCTGGATAAGGCGCTGGAAGAAGAAAATTTGGAAGAAATCGAAGTCAAGACCGAAGAGTAAGACGTTCGGGCAATAGACTAGTTATAGTAAGGTGGACGTCCGCTCACCTTTCCTTTTGTTTAAGTATGAACGATCGGTATTGTTATTTTGTAAACCGGTCGTATATTTTGGGTAGTGAGGTACGACTTTAATTTGTAACTCTTTCTGTAAGGCCGTTCGGCCATGAGCGTACGCTCGTCTCTAGTGTAAGACTAATCTGGATTATCATTAATGTAATTATTCTATCATATGATTTATTGCTGTATTTTTGGAATGTTACAATAAATTGCTAAATTATTCTTCATCATATTTGGAGATGATATCTAGTAAACATAATGACTTTTTAATTAATAACATTAAATAAAATTAAAAAGATGTTCCTGTTACAATGCAGAGCTTCCAAAAGAGAATGTCTCTTCATTAAATCAATTTCAGTAGTTTCCAAATTGTCTCATTCAAGTTGAGCGGTTTTTGACCAATATTTTGGGAAGTGAAAATAATTTACTCAAAATTTGTATATTTCACTGTTCTCAATAATACAATAAAATTAAATACATGATTGTAACTATAAAAGAAATTGTACGTATATAAATGATGTCTTATTCAGATTTTTAAACTATTAATAATTAAATCATAACTACAAATTTTAGCTATTTTTTTAAATAAATAACAATATTATCCGACAAGAAATTTATTTTTCAATGTAAAAACTGATCTTTCTGTTGTTAATGTAGAAACAGGAAAAGTTAAAATAAAACGAATTAAGTAATTAATCATATAAAACTGTCATTAACTTTTCTATTTCTGACATGATTGATAAATTAGTTATGAAAAGACACATATTACTTATACTTTTTCTTTTATATTTATAAAAAATAATATGCAAAAGATTTATGAAATAAAAATAATAATAATTATTAAAATAATATTTCATTATCATGTTAAATAAGAGATATATAATATATTTAAGAATGGAAGAAAAAAATAAAAAATGAGAACAAAAATATCAAATCATTTTCTCCACAAAAGAAAACGTGTGACAGCCAGATTGAGTACTGAAAAAATTAAAAAATAATATAAAAAAAAAATAATAAATGTCTTAATAAATTTTGTTATTCTTTATTATATTTGAGTTTATATTTTATTATTTATTAACATTTAATATTATGTTTTATAAAATAAATAAATAAAATACTTAATGTAATTTCTATCAATTTCTAATATACCACATATAATTAAAAAGTTTTCTCAATATATCACATATATATATAAAAAAATTTCAAAAAATTTGAGATACTATGATACCCTGTGTCCCTTGTAGGTCCGCAGACCCTAACGGTTGATGTAACAAGTGTTTCTGCCTTGTGTTTGTAACGAGTTCGTTATCTATTTTTCATTTTCAGTTGATCAATAAAATAAAAGATAATTAAAATTGATTTATATTTAAGTCTATGAAACTTAATTTTTATTTATATTTGAAACTAGAGAGTAAGTTTATTGGAGTGGTAGTCCAACTCAAAAGATACATTTATTATATATATTTACTTTAGTGTCACATTTTTTTCCAAATATATACTCAGTGACTTGAAAAATTAGTGTTAGATGTGTAATTGCAAAAAACAAATGTGAAAAAATAAAAGTAATAATAAATATTTGCGTTTTTGCTTTAACCTAATAAATATCTTTTAAGATTAGCCAATAATCATTTGTTTGCATTGTAATTAATATATAAAGAAGGAAAATGTTGTAATTTTCACTCACTACAAAAATAAATAAGAATAGAAATTTTAGTAAGACTATTTTTCTTAAAATAAAAATAAGAACTATTGATGCTCAAAAGTTTGGTACAAATCAATAGAATGCATTTTATAAATACAACTTCAAGTAAAATTCTTAATGTACAATATTTCATTCTCAACAAAAGTGAACTGAGAATTCACGAGACAGAAAACTCTTTAAACTCAAACAAAATAAAATTAACTAATTTTACATTAAAAATGATAGTTAGATGTATTTAATATGTTTTTTTTTACTTCATACAATACATGAATATATTTTCTAAAGTACATATAACAATATTGGAGATGATTCCTAAATTTAAATACAATAATATTTTAAAAAAATAACTTTAAATAAAACTTTTGAAATTGGAAGCGGCTTATATTTAATAACAATGAACATAAACATAACTCACTTTTTCTCGTGCTGTTTAATCGTAGCATACAAACCCATTTAGGCAACCATGGTCAAATGTTTCTATTCTAATTTTGTGCAAAAATTTGATTATATGATGCAAAATTGCCAAATGTTTGTGCTACTAATGTCTCCTAATTAGGAGAATGGTGGGTTCTAAATTAACAATTTTTTTTGCAACTTATGATTAAAGCTTAAGGGCCACTAGCTTTTCCTTTTTTCTTTCTTCCTCATTTTAGGGTCTTTTGGTTAGTCTTAATCATTAGTCAAAAGATCTTCTAGGGCAATGCACATTAACAAAAATGATTAGAACTTAGGTTAAACCAATGTTGTGTTTTTGACATTTAACATGTGTGCATATATAACCGTACCCTTGTACTTTATTTCAGTCTCACTCACAATTGATTACTTGTTTTTAACTTGTAAAAGAAAACAAAGTTGAAACACACGGTACATATTGAAGGTAGCTAGGAGATAGATCCACTTTTTTACTAACCTCTTTACTCTTTTGAATGATTAGGATTAACACCCCTCTTGATTAAATTTATGCAAATCAATGTTCTTTTCGGAAAGATTTAAACTTTTTAATAAAATATTGCAGTCACAAAAAATAAAATACTCCTACATTTCTAAAACTTACAATGAATATGTTAAAACATGTTGTCATACTGTTTATGAAAAAGGGCATTAGACAAAGAAGAGCTGGTCACTGTCTGTAACTAAGTTAAGAACTCTTTGATTAAAATTTACTAGAGAAAGAAGAAACGGAAGATAGTAAAAATTTCAATACATAATGTAAAACAATTATCAATTTAATTAATTTCTATTAAAGAAACTGACTAACTATTTTTAATTCTTCTCACAATTCCATCTTTTTAATACAGAAAATTTGAATATAACACTTTCCTCTAGAAACTTAATCTCAATGTCACTAAACTATAAGTGGTAAAAAATTACTAACTTGGCCAAAAGATAACATGAAGCTGAGATAGAACAACTAAAGCAAGCACCAAAGTTTGATATATATTAAAACAAAAAATATGTTCCGACTGCTTATATATGCTTTTGTTGTACCTTATTCGTTGTCAATTTTCCAATGTTCCAATCCCCAAATCAATGGAAGAATTTCATGATATCAGTCATAACTGGTGAAGGTATATATATATATATGGTGAAAGATGAAAAGAGGGAATTGCTTACAAGGACAAAGCTTGCCAGCCATTTGGGACCAGGGAATCCCATCAAACTCAATATTTTTATGGTGCTTGCAAGGAATGGTATCAACAAAAGAAGATTTTGGGTGCAAATAATGAAAAATTGTCAACAGGGTGGACTCAGGACTCAGAGATGGTTATTTTTTCTTGCATTGAAAAATTTTGTGGTTGAACAGAAACTCTTGATCTTGTCTGAAGAAGGGTGGTGGTGAGCATCATTTTATAATGACAACCCTTGCATGCCTTTCACAGCTTTCAACTAAAGCAACTTCCATCCAATCATTTGTCACCCCTCTCAAAGGACACCTTGCCCTTATTTAAATGTCTGAATGAACTGGCAGCATCTTTGCTTCAACCTCAATTAAGCTGCTTTTTAAGTGCCCTTCCTTTTGTTAACTCTCAGGGGAATCTAATATCTTGTTTTTCTGCAAAAGGGTAGGTTCCAAAATGGGCAGACAACCTTGTTGTGATAAGGTTGGTTTGAAGAGAGGTCCATGGACTATTGAGGAAGATCACAAGCTTATGAATTTCATTCTCAACAATGGTATTCACTGCTGGAGAGCAGTTCCCAAGCTAGCAGGTATTTCCTTTGTGAAAAATTTGTTTACTTGTGACTTTGCCTTAAAGTTGTGTATCATTTGAATTCTGCATTTTTCCTTTTTCTTTCTGTTTGGCATTGTGGTGAAGGATTGCTGAGATGTGGAAAGAGCTGCAGATTGAGATGGATTAATTATCTGAGACCAGACCTCAAGAGAGGTGGATTTACTGAAATGGAAGAGGATCAAATTATACAACTACATTCATGTCTCGGTAACAGGTATCTATATGTATATATAGTTATATGTTGTATGTTACATGTTTATGGCATGGTTTTTGGACAGTGTATTTGAAAAACCTTAATTCTGCCACCAAAATCACAATCCTATGCAATCTTCTCAAAAACTTAAATCATACTTTACAGATTTATAGATGTCTTGTAACACAATGAAGCACATTTTTCAGGTGGTCTAAGATTGCTTCACATTTTCCAGGGAGGACAGATAATGAAATCAAGAACCATTGGAACACAAAGATAAAAAAGAGGTTGAAGGTCCTTGGTTTGGACCCTTTGACCCTGATGCCAATTGAGCAAAAGCAGCAACAGTCTGGTAATGATGACAAACTCAAGACAGAGAAACAGAAAAAAAGCACTTCAAAAGGGTCTGACCAAGGTGTGGATAGCAAACCCTTGGACATGCATGCCACAGGAGAAGAGCCAAAAACAGAAGACAAAATGGAAGAAAAAAAGGTAACGTGGGATGACACCACTGGTTTTCTGAACAATTATGAAATGTTGTGCTCACAGTTGGAGTTGGGGTCATGGTTGAGCCAAGAAACCAAAGCCAGCACCAGCTCTTACTGTAGTTCTTCTTTCTCACTGGATGATTCTAGCAACCTTTCTGTCTGTGAATCCTCTTATCTTCAGGAAAATTCCTTGCAACAATGGGTTGAGGATTTGGATTCCAGTCTCTCATGGGATAGCTTCAATCCACTTCACACTGATTTTCCCTTCTTCGAAAATAGGCAATAAGCATAATTCCCTCATAACACCATCCCATTCTTACAATCTCTCCAGCAATAAAATGCTGCAAAATATCTTGTCATCAAGAATGCCACTTTAATTCTACAAATTCAATGGTTTATTGTAATGTGATTCCATATTGTTGAATGTGAATTGGATACATTGTCATGGTTTGCTCCTTTTCCACTTATTGGATTGAATTCCTCACAAACATTCTCACACTTTACGTCATACAGATCATTTCTAACTTAAAAGTTGTTACAAATACTGATGAATATATATATATGGGTTTGCTAACGTACACCTGTTTTTCAGTTGGTACATTTTAGCAATGTTTATTGGGTTTTAGTAGACAAAAATACCCTTATATATTATGGATTCTAAGTTTTAAGGTTAAGGGATTCTCACTCACCTCCCTCATTCCTCTCAACCCTTTTTTTTTCATCTCTCTCACTCCAACCTTTTCTCTGTCATCCCTACTGTAGGCCCCCAATTGAAAAAAATCATAAACACTTGTCGTTAAACAATTTGCCTTTGTAAAGAGTTGAGTCATTGACATATTCACCTTTCAGGAAAAGGTTCATTCAAGATTTCTTCAATTTCACCATCTTCACTAACCTCTCTAATTTCATCATCTGCATATGTTGAATCATCATCTCTAAAAAAACCCTCCAAGCCAATTACCAATTCCTTCCGATGTCATTATGCTTGTGAAAATTAGATAAAATTATATACGACAAAAATTATAAAATGAAAACTCATTATAAAATCATTTTTTGTAAGAAATTTTTTAACAAGTATTTTTTATTTTTTCCAAGCCTGTGAAAATGGGATAAAATTAGATAAGACAGAAATTATAAAATGAAAAGTCATTATAAAATCATGTAAGATTGTTTAACAGCCAATGTTTCTGATTTTTTTTACCATAGGATGACATAGAAAATGTTGGAGTGAGAGAAATGAAAGAGAAAGGGTTGAGAGAAACGAGGGAAACGGGGGAGGTGAGTAAGGGTTTGTGGGGTTCTTTCTTAAAACTTAGACATGATATATAAGGGTATTTTCGGCTACTAAAACCCGATACACATTGCTAAAATATACCAACTGAAAAACAGGCGTGTTTAGCAAACCCCATATATATATATATATATATAT